TGGAGCAATGTAAAAAGAGAGCAAATGAGAGAGTGGGTGAGATGTTATCAACAAATTTTGTTGAAAATAAGAAAAAGTTTTGGAGTGAGATTAACAAGTTAAGAAAGCCTAGAGAACAAATGGATTTGTCAGTTAAAAATAGGAGAGGAGAGTTATTAAATGGAGAGTTAGAGGTATTGGGAAGATGGAGGGAATATTTTGAGGAATTGTTAAATGTTGATGAAGATAGGGAAGCTGTGATTTCGTGTATAGGGCAAGGAGGAACATCATCTTGTAGGAGTGAGGAAGAGCCAGTTGTGAGTGTGGGGGAAGTTCGTGAGGCAGTAGGTAAAATGAAAGGGGGTAAGGCAGCCGGAATTGATGGGATAAAGATAGAAATGTTAAAAGCAGGTGGGGATATAGTTTTGGAGTGGTTGGTGCAATTATTTAATAAATGTATGGAAGAGGGTAAGGTACCTAGGGATTGGCAGAGAGCATGCATAGTTCCTTTGTATAAAGGCAAAGGGGATAAAGGAGAGTGCAAAAATTATAGGGGGATAAGTCTCTTGAGTATACCTGGCAAAGTGTATGGTAGAGTTATTATTGAAAGAATTAAGAGTAAGACGGAGAATAGGATAGCAGATGAACAAGGAGGCTTTAGGAAAGGTAGGGGGTGTGTGGACCAGGTGTTTACAGTGAAACATATAAGTGAACAGTATTTAGATAAGGCTAAAGAGGTCTTTGTGGCATTTATGGATTTGGAAAAAGCGTATGACAGGGTGGATAGGGGGGCAATGTGGCAGATGTTGCAGGTGTATGGTGTAGGAGGTAGGTTACTGAAAGCAGTGAAGAGTTTTTACGAGGATAGTAAGGCTCAAGTTAGAGTATGTAGGAAAGAGGGAAATTATTTCCCAGTAAAAGTAGGCCTTAGACAAGGATGTGTGATGTCACCGTGGTTGTTTAATATATTTATAGATGGGGTTGTAAGAGAAGTAAATGCGAGGGTCTTGGCAAGAGGCATGGAGTTAAAAGATAAAGAAGCACACATAAAGTGGGAGTTGTCACAGTTGCTCTTTGCTGATGACACTGTGCTCTTGGGAGATTCTGAAGAGAAGGTGCAGAGATTGGTGGATGAATTTGGTAGGGTGTGCAAAAGAAGAAAATTGAAAGTGAATACAGGAAAGAGTAAGGTTATGAGGATAACAAAAGATTAGGTGATGAAAGATTGGATATCAGATTGGAGGGAGAGAGTATGGAGGAGGTGAATGTATTCAGATATTTGGGAGTGGACGTGTCAGCGGATGGGTCTATGAAAGATGAGGTGAATCATAGAATTGATGAGGGGAAAAAGGGTGAGTGGTGCACTTAGGAGTCTGTGGAGACAAAGAACTTTGTCCTTGGAGGCAAAGAGGGGAATGTATGAGAGTATAGTTTTACCAATGCTCTTATATGGGTGTGAAGCATGGGTGATGAATGTTGCAGCGAGGAGAAGGCTGGAGGCAGTGGAGATGTCGTGTCTGAGAGCAATGTGTGGTGTGAATATAATGCAGAGAATTCGTAGTTTGGAAGTTAGGAGGAGGTGCGGGATTACCAAAACTGTTGTCCAGAGGGCTGAGGAAGGGTTGTTGAGGTGGTTCGGACATGTGGAGAGAATGGAGCGGGGTAGGGGTCGGCCTAGGAAAGGTTGGAGGGAGGGGGTAAAGGAGGTTTTGTGTGCTAGGGGCTTGGACTTCCAGCAGGCATGCGTGAGCGTATTTGATAGGAGTGAATGGAGACAAATGGTTTTTAATACTTGACGTGCTGTTGGAGTGTGAGCAAAGTAACATTTATGAAGGGGTTCAGGGAAACCGGCAGGCCAGACTTGAGTCCTGGAGATGGGAAGTACAGTGCCTGCACTCTGAAGGAGGGGTGTTAATGTTGCAGTTTAACCCTTTCAGGGTCCAAGGCCCAAATCTGGAGTCACGCACCAGTGTCCAAGAATTTAAAAAAAAAAAAATTTGTTATTTTTTCTTATGAAATCGTAGAGAATCTTTTTGTGAAGGTAATAAAACAAAAAGTACGAAATTTGGTGGAAAATTGACGAAATTATGCTCTCGCGAATTTTGATGTGTCAGCGACATTTACGAATCGGCGATTTTGCCGACTTTGACTCCCATTTTAGGCCAATTACATTATTCCAATCAACCAAATTCTTAGCTATTTCATTAGTATTACTTCTATTCTATCGATTGAGCACAAGAAATCGCCAAGTCAACTGTTTCAACTACAAAATAAAGTGATCGGAAATTGTTAATTTGGCCAATTTAACACAAAGTTCAAAATATTCCAATTTCATAATAGGGTCCAGAATAAACAATGTAGGCATTCCTAGCACTAACCTAACGTTTCCTCTGTTCATTAGTTATGTTTTGAGGCTTTACAAATAAATTCCATTTTGATTTTTTATTCACATAATGAATTTTTATTCACACCAAAAAATAGAAGATTTACTGTTATGCAATACTGTAATAATTGTATAAATATCATCACCATATTTGTGAATGTATATTAGACCCACCAGCTGACGTGTATTAGACGTGTGAGGTCGTTTGTTTACTCTTGAATATCGGCAAAAATTTAAGATTTCCGCTACTTTGAGCTCAGTTTCAAGCCATTTCCAGTGCTAAAACCAATCAAAATCATCTCTATTTCTGTAATATGTCTTCCATTCTATCAAATGAGACCAAGAAATCGCAAATACAACTATAAAAAACATACGAAAAAACACTGCAAAGTTGCTGTTTTAATCGAAAAATCATGATTTAAGTTTTTTTCTCTCATACACAGTGTGCTGCAGGATCTGTTTTATGTGGTGCACACATACCACATAGATGTATTCTCTCATATCTAGGCCCAAATGTACCACTCACAGTTTATCAGAGTGAGCTGAGCTCATGGCGTAGATCTACGGTTTGGACGGACGGGACGGACCCTGAAAGGGTTAAAAACTGTAGTGTAAAGCACCCTTCTGGCAAGACAGTGATGGAGTGAATGATGGTGAAAGTTTTTCTTTTTTGGGCCACCCTGCCTTGGTGGGAATCGGCCAGTGTGATAATAAAATAAAATAACCTCTCATTAGTGGATTTTAGAAATATTGGTCAAAAAAATTGGCTGGACAAACATTAGAAAGTATCAGACATAATGGAGAAGTCCATAATTCCAGATTTTATCCATAGCTATAGTGTCTGATTCTCTTTTGCAGTATTAGACCAAGTCCAATGACTCTGATGTTTATCCGGTACTAGACAAAGCGGCCACGTCCAGGACCTGTGTTTTCGTTCCCTGAGCCGTAGGCCATCCATGCCAGTTTGTGCTCACTCACATACACTCATCATTCAGTCTCCAATTTTTCCCTGGATTTAGGGCATTTTGTGACTTTATTAACATATTACGTAAAATGCAATTAACAACGACAAAAGCAAATGGTGGTGCCAAGAGGAAACATGTGGTTCTCAGTGTTAAGCAGAAACTTGAATAAAGAAGGTTGAATCTGGTATCTGTGGCACATCTCAGCCATCTGTTTCTTCCCAGTCATCTGGTCTTCTCAGCCATCTACATCTCCCCAGCCATCTAGTCTTCCCAGCCATCTACATCTTCCCAGCCACCTACATTATATATTAGAGTATAGCTCATCATACCAACGTACCAGACGGTACTTACGAGTCGTAGTTAGTAATTGTGCCCTTAACACTATATGATTATCTGTACCAGATACCCCGAGATAAAAGTATACCACTTATACTCCATGAGAAGTGTAGGAGCTTATCTCCTTAATTATGCCAAATATATTAACTTCATGACCACCTAGACAATTTTGATATTAAAAATCTCAAAATTTATTTAGTTGGTTTACATTCATCCAGTTGCAATCCCAAAGTGTTATTGAAATGTCTCTTAATTTTAAAGGATAACTGGACTAGAATATTCTCTTAACAAATTGTTACAAAACCAGAAACAGGCTAGATGATAGAGGGGGATCAATAAGCTGACCTAGTATTCTCTGGAGATGTCTATACTTTATAGATGTCCCATTTTGTAAACAGATGGGTCAGGACAATACACCTTATCTAGCATTCCATTAATGATAATTATATTTTTGGAGAAGAGCTAACCCTTGGGAGGCAATCAGGTTTGATCCAAAGAAAGGGAAGACAGGTTCAATTCTTGAATCCCTCATAGGCATCAAAAAACCTGAGAGAATCCCCATTAAAACATTACCTTGGTAACAAATTATTATATTGAATAAAAAGACACAATACTGTGATTGGAACAATACACAAATAACCTGCACTTAGCAGGCAAACTCATGACAACATTTTGGTCTGACTTGGACCACTGACTAGTCACAGAGAAGCATGAAGGGGGCACAGAAGCATGAGGGGGCAAGGGATGGGAGTGGTAGAATAGTAGGAAGAAATAATAACGTAGCATTAGTAGTACCTTTCCTCTCCTGCTACTTCTGTCCCCTGCCAGTCCCTTCTATATATTCTGGCACCCTTCCCTTCACACTTGTGTGTGACTAGTTAATGGTCCAAGTCAGACTGAAATGTTATCACAAGATTCAGTTTCCTAAGTGCAGGTTATTTGTGTAAATTCTTATATTCACAAACGCACACAAAGCAAACTTATATGGGTCAGCTGTGCCTCAGTGACAGTCCTTAATCTACATTTATTTCATCATATTAAATCAATACTTTTAATTCTCCCTGACTGTGTTGTATTGTAAACACATTTTTTGCTGTAAACAATCATGTTGCTTGTCACAGTGATAACCTAGTAATTACATGGACAGCATTCAACAAGCCTTCAATTATGCTGTAAGTGACTCCCAGCAACAAAAGATGCCAACGTAACTTGAAATGGAAGAAAGATACTGAGTGAAACAATGAGATTCTGAACTCAGAATTTACCCCTGCCATGAGTTTTTTTTTTTAAGAAATCTTAAATAATTTACAAATATACAGGAAAATATATCAGATGAATCAATGTATCACCTTATTTTTTATTTAGAAAAACTGTAGTACATGCATATTTGTTAATTCCTTATGACAAAAGCAGCTGTCAAAGCTCACAGCAGACAGTTTCCAGTTTTCTTCTCTCTTCATCATGAAAGCCGTCTCTCTGATATCAGTAAACAATAACAAGGCATTTTAGTGCAGAATCTGTAGGTTAGGACTTAATGTTTCATACAAGTGTCAAAACTAAATACATTTTTAAACCACTGAAAAACTATTTGTTGTACTGATAATCAGTGATTTTTCTAACGTGACAAAAGCTAAACGTACCAAAGGTAAAAATGGACATGAGCATGGCAGTGGACACCGTACTTTCTATAACTTTTTACAAGACCCTTGAACACAAAAGTTTCTGGTCATTTCAAAACATTTCCTTAGGGTGAATCATACCAAAACTTTAAAATTTCAAATGTCCTAAATCACCATTCAAAAAATCAATATATATAAATATATAAATATGTAACCAATTAAAGTCCTGAGATGATGGCTTCTACTTCATCCTGTGGGTAGCGATGGAAACCCTTCTCTGGAGTTACAGCTGCCACTTCCACATTAGAACCACTCACTTTCTCTTCCATTACTTGCTTCAACACCGTCAACGCAATCTTTAGGGCCTCTTGCAATGTCATGGACTGGAAAAAAATACTGAGCTTAGAGTCAGTTCTACTTTATACCAGGAGCAATGGGTTAAAATGTCAGCAGGAGTATATAGAATAATTTAGGATGAGGCAATATGCGTAATGAAATGTGAAACTTGAAACATTAAACATTTTAGCCCAAACTACAAGGAAATTATACTAAATATCACAACACATTGGAAATGTTATAACAATCAATAAGAAAGCTTATTAACCATACGTACTGTAGTACTTCACCTTTACAAGTGTTCACACTCAATATGATCAGACAACACTGAACACTTGCTAGCAAGTGGTGAAGTCAAACAAAAGTAATGTATGGGTGAGGGTACAAAGTGGAGGTGCAAACAAAGAAAACAGGCAGCTGTAATTAATGAACTACTGAGAGAAGGGTTGTGTTAACCCCTTGACTGTCGCAACCCCCAATCCTGAGGTCGCAAAATTTAAAAAAAAAAAAAATCATTTTTTCTAATGAAATGATAGAGAATCTTTTCCCAATTGTAATGACACCAAAAAAACGAAATTTGATGGAAAACTGACGGAATTACGCTCTTGCGAAGTTAGCGACCTCGGCGATATTTACAAATCGGCGATTTCGCCCACTTTGAGCCCTATTTTCAGCAAATTCCTTTGTTCCAGTCAACCAAACTCATAGCTATTTCTTTAGAACTCCATTTTTTCTATCGATTGAATACAAGAAACTGCCCATTTACCAATTTCAACTACCCAATAACGTGGTCAGAAATTTGCAATTTAGCCAATTTCACGAAAATAAAAAAATTTGACAATTTCAAAATAAGGTCCAGAATGAACAATGCAGACATTCCTGACTCTAAAATAACATTTTCTTTGTTCATCAGTCATGTCTCCAGGCCCCTCTGATATTACTCTTGCTTTCTATTTGCTATTATGCAGACTACTGCAATACTGTAATACAGTGGACCCCCGCTGAACGATCACCTCCCAATGCGACCAATTATGTAAGTGTATTCATGTAAGTGTGTTTGTACGTGTATGTTTGGGGGTCTGAAATGGACTAATCTACTTCACAATATTCCTTATGGGAACAAATTCGGTCAGTACTGGCACCTGAACATACTTTCGGAATGAAAAAATATCGTTAACCGGGGGTCCACTGTAATTGTATAAATAACATCAACCCATTCATGACTGCATATTAGAATGGCTAGTTGGACATTTATTGGACAATGACATCATTTGTTTACTTTTGAACATTGGCAAAAATCAAACATTTCCCCTACTTTGGGCTCCATTTCCAGGTTCTTTTTATAGGAAAATCAATCAACATCACCTCTATTTCTTCAATATGTTTTCCATTCTATCAAATGAGACCAAGAAAATGAGAATACAACCATAAATACTATATGAAAATAGACCACAAAGTCGGCACTGCGTGCTCCAGGATTTTTTTATATGGTGCACACTGACCACACAGACCCATTCTCTCATATGTAGGCCTACCAGCTTTCTCCTGCTTGATTTGAAGCCGCTAGAATTTATGAGTATATATACGTGTATAGGGCAAGGAGGAATAACATCTTGTAGGAGTGAGGAAGAGCCAGTTGTGAATGTGGGGGAAGTTCGTGAGGCAGTAGGTAAAATGAAAGGGGGTAAGGCAGCTGGGATTGATGGGATAAAGATAGAAATGTTAAAAGCAGGTGGGGATATAGTTTTGGAGTGGTTGGTGCAATTATTTAATAAATGTATGGAAGAGGGTAAAGTACCTAGGGATTGGCAGAGAGCATGCATAGTTCCTTTGTATAAAGGCAAAGGGGACAAAAGAGAGTGCAAAAATTATAGGGGGATAAGTCTGTTGAGTATACCTGGTAAAGTGTATGGTAGAGTTATTATTGAAAGAATTAAGAGTAAGACGGAGAATAGGATAGCAGATGAACAAGGAGGCTTTAGGAAAGGTAGGGGGTGTGTGGACCAGGTGTTTACAGTGAAACATATAAGTGAACAGTATTTAGATAAGGCTAAAGAGGTCTTTGTGGCATTTATGGATTTGGAAAAGGTGTATGACAGGGTGGATAGGGGGGCAATGTGGCAGATGTTGCAGGTGTATGGTGTAGGAGGTAGGTTACTGAAAGCAGTGAAGAGTTTTTATGAGGATAGTGAGGCTCAAGTTAGAGTATGTAGGAAAGAGGGAAATTATTTCCCAGTAAAAGTAGGCCTTAGACAAGGATGTGTGATGTCACCGTGGTTGTTTAATATATTTATAGATGGGGTTGCAAGAGAAGTAAATGCAAGGGTCTTGGCAAGAGGTGTGGAGTTAAAAGATAAAGAATCACACAAAGTGGGAGTTGTCACAGTTGCTCTTTGCTGATGACACTGTGCTCTTGGGAGATTCTGAAGAGAAGGTGCAGAGATTGGTGGATGAATTTGGTAGGGTGTGCAAAAGAAAATTAAAAGTGAATACAGGAAAGAGTAAGGTTATGAGGATAACAAAAAGATTAGGTGATGAAAGACTGGATATCAGATTGGAAGGAGAGAGTATAGAGGAGGTGAATGTATTCAGATATTTGGGAGTGGACGTGTCAGCGGATGGGTCTATGAAAGATGAGGTGAATCATAGAATTGATGAGGGGAAAAGGGTGAGTGGTGCACTTAGGAGTCTGTGGAGACAAAGAACTTTGTCCTTGGAGGCAAAGAGGGGAATGTATGAGAGTATAGTTTTACCAACGCTCTTATATGGGTGTGAAGCATGGGTGATGAATGTTGCAGCGAGGAGAAGGCTGGAGGCAGTGGAGATGTCATGTCTGAGGGCAATGTGTAGTGTGAATATAATGCAGAGAATTCGTAGTTTGGAAGTTAGGAGGAGGTGCGGGATTACCAAAACTGTTGTCCAGAGGGCTGAGGAAGGGTTGTTGAGGTGGTTCGGACATGTAGAGAGAATGGAGCGAAACAGAGTGACTTCAAGAGTGTATCAGTCTGTAGTGGAAGGAAGGCGGGGTAGGGGTCGGCCTAGGAAAGGTTGGAGGGAGGGGGTAAAGGAGGTTTTGTGTGCGAGGGGCTTGGACTTCCAGCAGACATGCGTGAGCGTGTTTGATAGGAGTGAATGGAGACGAATGGTTTTTAATACTTGACGTGCTGTTGGAGTGTGAGCAAAGTAACATTTATGAAGGGGTTCAGGGAAACCGGCAGGCCGGACTTGAGTCCTAGAGATGGGAAGTACAGTGCCTGCACTCTGAAGGAGGGGTGTTAATGTTGCAGTTTAAAAACTGGCAAGACAGTGATGGAGTGAATGATGGTGAAAGTTTTTCTTTTTCGGGCCACCAAGCCTTGGTGGGAATCGGCCAGTGTGATAAAAAAAAAAAAAAATACGTCAAACACGGTACCTCGTAAGACATATACAGTGGACCCCCACATAACGATTACCTCCGAATGCGACCAATTATGTAAGTGTATTTATGTAAGTGCATTTGTACGTGTATGTTTGGGGGTCTGAAATGGACTAATCTACTTCACAATATTCCTTATGGGAATAAATTCGGTCAGTACTGGCACCTGAACATACTTATGGAGTGAAAAAATATCGTTAACCGGGGGTCCACTGTATATACAGCCGTGACAGTCAAAGGGTTAAGTAAAAGGACACAAATGCAACTAATGTGACATTTTATTGTGGCAATGTTCCGCTCTCCAGGAGTTTAGCCAAGCTGTTACAAACAATACATGAACACAGAGGGATATATAGGCTTTGAGCGAGGTGTAGTACAAGTAGAGGTAGTAGAAGTGGTTACACATGTGGTGGAAAAGTCAGCTGGTACATGAGAAAGAAAGGTTACAAAGCTATGGCTTGGGTAGCATAAAAAAATAGGTTGGGTATTTGCCCAACCTATTTTTTTTATATATGCCCTTTGTCCATGCATTGTTTGTAATGGCTTGACAAAGCTCCTGGAGATACGTTGCTACAATAAAATGTCACATTAGTTGCATTTGTGTCCTTTTACTTGTGACATTAGTTGCATTTGTGTCCTTTTACTTAACATATTGTCGGTAATTCTTCCAATATTATGGAGAGAAGAGTGTTACCGATGCTGGTAGGAGAGTGGAGGTGTTCTATTAATCAGTGACTTACCAGTGCCATATAGTCTTGACTGAGTATTCTCTTGCATACTAAAGCTAAGCTTTCTGCCCCAAAAAAATGGAATGGATTTCCTATAGCGAGAGTATTGTGCGAAATGATACAAGGATGACTAGGTTTCACTTGCCACACGAACACTTCAATGTGCACTGTAAACATAGGTGCATCACCTTCCTATGCTGAAGAATGTATTCACTAATAATAGGCAAACAGGACAAGGCTGAGGAATACATTCACCGAGAATATACAAATCAGATGAAGGGCTATGTGGCACTTGATTCTCCACTTTTGTTTTAAGGATTTTTTTTTTTTTTAACAAGTCGGCCGTCTCCCACCGAGGCAGGGTGACCCAAAAAGAAAGAAAATCCCCAAAAAGAAAATACTTTCATCATCATTCAACACTTTCACCTCACTCACACATAATCACTGTTTTTGCAGAGGTGCTCAGAACACAACAGCTTAGAAGCATATACGTATAAAGATACACAACATATCCCTCCAAACTGCTAATATCCCAAAACCCCTCCTTTAGAGTGCAGGCATTGTATTTCCCCATTTCCAGGACTCAAGTCGGGGCTATTTTAAAAATAAACCGGGTTTTCCCTGAATCCCTTCACTAAATATTACCTGCTCACACTCCAACAGATCGTCAGGTCCCAAATACCATTCATCTCCATTCACTCCTACGAACACGCTAATGCATGCCTGCTGGAAAGTCCGGGCCCCTCGCCCACAAAACCTCCCTTACCCCTTCCTTCCAACCTTTTCGAGGACGAACCCCTACCCACCCTTTCCCTTTTCTCCTACAGATTTAAATGCTCTCCATGTCATTCTACTTTGATCCTTCTCTCTAAATGCCCAAAAACCACCTCAACAACCCCTCTTC